CCCGGGAGGCCCCGCCGAGGGTCAGGCCGAGCCGAGTCCGCCGCGGGGCCTGCAGGTGGGCCCAGGGCGCGGCCAGGCCCAGAGAGAAGCCCTACCCACGCAAGGCAGTGGCGGGCGCGGCGCTAGCACAGGCCCCGCGGTCACTTACCGGCGCCTCATGGTACCGCGGCGCCTCAGCCCAGCGCTGCCGGTGACGAACTGCGCCCGGCAGCTAGGGCGTCCCCGAGATCCCGGGCCGAACCCCACACAGGGCCATTCAAACGCGGCCGCGCGCGCGGCCCGCCGGGATAGCTTCCCCCAGAGACGCCTAGCTGGCTCCGCCCAACGCTGGCTCCGCCCTTCGGAGTCTCACAGGACTGGAGGGAGGGGGAAGAGAACTGTGTGGGCACAGCGCCCCCTGGCGGCCACAGGTACGTGGGCCGCCTTGCTTTGATGTGGCAAGTAATAGAACTGAGGGCGGATAAGTCAAAGAATGACCCTGCGTTAATGATAGTGTGGAAAGACAGATCATGCCTTAAGTGTTGTGCCGGGATGTGCTAACAACCTGTTGTGAAAAGACGGTTCAGGGAGAGATTTATTCACTTTCTCCCATTTAAATGCACCAGGGCAAGGTATTTAAATGGACTGGAGTTTGGTCACCTTGGACAAGTCATATAAACACCTGTGTACTTTGGTTTCCTCTCTGGAATGTGGAAATTATGAAAGTGTCTGTCTTATGTTGATAAAATGAGCTAATTCTAGCAAATGCTTACAGGAATGTGTCTGGCACATGGGAAATACATAATGGCTAGCTATTATTTTTTCCTTCTTAATATGTGCCAGTTTGTGTGCTAGACCTCTAAGAACACAAAAAGTGTATACAATGCAGATCCTATCCTCAGGATCAGGGATCCAAGTCTCTTTGAGGAGAACACTATAGTATGCAAGGAGAGGAGGGATCTGTTCCCGAGGTGCATTTTAATTACTGAGGGTCATTCTTTTCATCTTAGTGGAACCAGAATCTACCCATCATCAAAGTGAGTCACTGGTCAAGATTGCCAAGTTTTGACAGGAGCAAGTTTGTCTTTGGTGGGCTTCTTACCCCTTGCAAAAGCTAATCAAACAGTGTGTTTGACAGAGCAGTTCCTCAAAGGATCTACATCCCTTGGCATGCATTTCTAGGTACTCCCCAGGGCTCCCTAAGGATCAGATGGCTTAAGAGGGCCCACTATGTACCACACTGATGTTGTACTAGGTTCTGGAGACAGCCTGAAGGTGCTCACAGTGGCCTACACAAACAGGGAAATAGATCATTCTAGCACACCGTGGTATGATAAAGGGATATGCTAAATGTTGTAGGAGCTCAGAGAAGTGTAAACTTAGCAAAAAAACAAGGCAGAATTAATGTCATTAGGTGTACTTTTTCTCCCCAGTAACAGAGTTATTTTTTATTTAATAATAAAAAAAGTGATGGTAAAAATTTTAGGCAATACTTAACTCACTGGAAGAAATATTTTCAGGGTATATTTTGCACAAGCAATGCCTTTGAAAGACTTTCAGATTATATCAAGAACAAGCAGGCACATGCCCATATGTGGGGCCACACCTGTTAGCAGGTGGGACTGTTGAGAGTTCAGCAGGGTGATTGAAGAAAGCAGGACCCCTGGGCTCTACTGAATGGTTTAGAACATTCCTGGAATATGAGTTTCACTAAGTGGGCGTGTTGACCTAAAGAAAATAAAAATTCAACACACCTGGGTGAAGTCACTTTCTCTCACGCTATTTCATCACCACCATCATAAACAAGAATTTCTTGATGACCCACTATGTAAAAGGCATTGTGCTAGGTCCTCACCAGAGGAGGGTGGAACGAGTGTAAGACACAAGACTGACTCTCAAGGGAAGCTGATGTGGTAAGACACATAACGGAGTGGTAGGACTCAGAAAATCTCTATTATCACAGAAGTAACTCTACAAGAACAAAGTCTTGGTGTGTCTAAAGGCCAGAAGAGAATCTCAGTGCTCTCAATTCCTCAGATTCAAGTACTGAGGTTTACACCAGCGGTGAATATCCCTAGCCCATAGAATACATGTGACTCTGCCAAGGGTCAACATGATTTAAGGTAAAATTTTTTAAAATTGCCTTTATATTGCTATTTTTGAAACATCTGCCATTTTAGTAATGGGGGAAAATGCAGGTCTATTTTCTTCATTATCACTTTTCAATAAATAAAATTAAATTTATTTTCCTTGAGGATCAATCGCATTTTGTTTTTGTTTCATTTAAGGAACTTAAAAAAAACAAGACTGCAGGACACTTCTTGGTGGTGCAGCAGATTAAAACGCAGCACTAAGAAACTAAAGCCACTTCCGCATGAGTTCAATTCCTGGCCATGGAGGTGACCCACATGACAAGGCAGACCTCTCCTGACCCACCCTCTACTCCCCTCAGCAGTGTATTTTATCAATCGGCCTGCTCTGCTCCTCACTCTGTCTCTGGTAAATCCTCTCACAGCCCCTGCACCTCTGACCTGTACCCCAGTGCTGTATGCAAATAATCTTAAAAAAAAACACAAAAACTGCAGCCTTGGCCTCCCTGGTGGCACAAGGGGTTGAGTCTCAGCACTATGCCACTGCAGCACAAGTTCCATCTCTGGTCAGGGAGCTGACCCATATGGTGCAACAGACTTTTCCTGACCTGCCCGCTACTCCTCTCAGCAGTGTATTTCAGTACATCATCTCATGTCACCCACCCTACTAGTCTCCCCCACCTCTGGCCTATGCCCCAGCTCTTGTATACATAAATAATCTTCTTTAAAAAAAAAAAAAAAACTGCGACCTATACATATCCTGTGGCCACCAGCCTCCACACAGCACTGTCACCCAGGGATTCTACCTTCTGGCCAGTCCTCATTTTTTTTTAAATGTTTATTTATTTATGCATACAGAACTAGGGTACAGGCCAGAGGTGAAGGGCAGTGAGAGGATTCACCAGAAACAGTGGGGTGCAGAACAGGGTGGCTGACAGAAGTGCACTGCTGAGGGGAGCAGCGGGCGGGTCAGGAGAGGTCTGCCAAGCCATGTGTGTCACCGCCCTTGCTGGGGATTGAACTCATGTTGAAGCAGCTGCAGCTAGCTTCACAGTGCTGTGCTTTTACCACCAGGGATGGCCCTAAAGCTTTATTTATGCATCTAAGAACCCAGATACAGGCCAGAGATGTAGGGAGTAAGAGATTCACCAGAGACAGAGTAGGAAGCAGAACAGGCAGACTGACTGAAATACACTGCTGAGTGGAGCAGTGGGTGAGACAGGAGAGGTCTGCCATGCCATGTGGGTCACCTTTCCGGCCTGGGATCAAACTTGTGCTGCAGTGGCTATGGAAAGCTTCATTGTACTGTGCTTTAACTCCTTGCACCACCAGGGAGGCTGCTGCTTTAAGTATTTCTTCTGCAGCTGAAGAAATGGCACCTGAGTTAGCTTTCCATCTCACCTTCTCCATTCTCAGGGATATGGACATCATTCAGGGATAGTGTGTAGTCATAAACACACAGACGAGAAAAGGATGCTCATGCCAAGTCATCTGTGTTCTTCCCAGAGAGGGTCAGGGAAGGACTGTGGAGGCAAGTTTGAGCTGTGCGAACCAACCAGATAGGATCTGACAGGATGTTCCAGACAATGGTGGAGGTGCAGAGCAGGTGTCAGGCCCCTGGCTCTTCCGGTCTGAGTGGAGGGAAAGGGGTTCTGGAAGAGTCAGGAGCAGTGACAAAACTGGTCTGGAGCTGCTTGATGTTAGTTACACTGACATGCTTGAAGGTCTGAAATTATCGAGCAAAGTTGTTTGGTATTTTCCCAAAAGCCTCCAAAAACCACAGACTGCCAAGCAGGGACGTGACAGTTAAATTAATACTTCAGAGGAAAGAAGCTATCACCAGGATGCAGGATGGCCAGGGGGACAGAGGAGGATGGGTGGCCAGACCCTGGACTTGATCGTGTTACCGTTGGTGACTAAGGACCATAGCATTTACTGGGGACTTTTTCTCATGTCTCTGACTCAGACTCATGCCAGGCCTGACAGGACAGAGTTTGAAAAAACCTACAAGACAGCAAGAGCTCTTTGTACATGCACAGCCTGGTTTCACATCCGTTGGAAAATTCCAGGCCCTTGACTTTGGCAATCAAAGTGAGAAATTGATCCTCTTTTCTCTGCTCCTCCCTTCCCATCTTCCTGTGCAGACTATGAGAGGAAGTTACGGCAGTAGAGAACTCCCAGATAAGGAAATAGCAGGAGAAACGTCAACTTTATGAGTTTTGTGATTGTTTCAAACACCACTACAATACTGAGGCCCTGTGGCAGAAACAGCAGTTGGTGGGGGTGGGGGAGGTAGGGAGGTGGGTGGCTTGAGGACAGAGAGACTGGAAGTAACGGGTGAATTGAGATCCTCCTGCTAAGATAATTTGTTTCTGATACATTTGCAGTTTTATTGCACCTTGACAGCTGAGAAACAGGTGACAATATTTAATATTTATAAATTTTGGCATCTGAATCCAAGAAACCATACTCCCCTTTGGAGCAGTTTTCTGTAATCCTGGTACACTCACCAACTGAAAGACAGTAGGGGGCAGCATATTAGAGTGGAAAGAATACAGCTTGGGAACAAAGTTCATCTGTCAGAAGCCCAGACCACTGCCTCTGAGTCCTTTCTATACCGTTTTTACCTTAACTGCACTGGGATAATGATACTTCTTTTATTATGTGGGGGAAAGGATAACATAACACTGCATATAGCCCCAGTCCAGTGATTGTGTCTTTCTCTGCAAATCAGCCCCCACTAACTTCACCTGTTGAGTAATTTTTCCAGGATACAGAATGCAATGTGCCTTGGTAATGCAGTGTCCTGGGACAAGGCCAGCTCTCCCAGGGAAGCACTGCTGGGAAGACATATTCTCTGTGGTGCTGGCAGCCTGGTAATCAGAATAGTTTCTGGAAGGTACCATATGCAAACCAAGTCTAATCTCACAGTTGCTTGAGGGATTGAGCATCACTGGGGCCTCATGGCAAACAGACACATTAGAAAGGAGGCCAAGGAGGGAAGATAGGAAGGAAATGCAATCGGCAGGACAATGATCAGAAACAGGAAAATACCCTTGAAGGGAACTTGACAGTGGAAAGCAAGGTCCCCAGCCTGGAAGAGGGAGCACTAGGAAGATCCCCAAAGGAGCCATTCTTTGGAGCTAGCCACAAAGACAGAGACTCTCTTGTGATAACAAAACTGAGTCTGAACCCAAATTGCTTGAC